AAACTAACACAATTCCCTATATTCAGCACCAAGGACAGCTCCACCTGTGTTTGTAAAGGGCATGTATACCATGGACAGCTGCACTTGTGTGTGTAAAGGACATGTGTTGAATACTAGAGAAAGGTCCCTTTACCTATAGTCAGCACCATATAGACAGGGCCATACATGTATGCATGTATTCTATATATCAGGGGTGTTTGTTATATACCAGTGTTTTTTATTTATGTGAATTCAGAACAGGCCAATGACAAGAAATTAACATAGGGAAAGTTAATAAATGGTTTCTGTATTCAGCACCAAGGACAGGGCTTTTTGTGCCTATTCTAGACCTGGGACAGCTATATTTGTATCTGAATGTGTACATGTAGAATACATTTATATAATAGTGAATACCAGGGAAAGTTCAGCCCATCAGTATTCAGCACCAGGACAGGCCCACTGTAACATGAGGTTTTGTATGTGGCAAATTACATGTCAAAACCATGTAGCCATCATCATAACATCATAATTTTATGAGGTAATGGACTAAGAGCTCCCTTCCTGTATGATTGATCAACTCAAAATATGAACTGATGTGAGGTATTGTTTATGTGGATTTGATTCGTTGTTGCCATGGTAGGAGAGCAGTTATCCTTGTAGCCAATTATAACATTTGGCTTGATGATCCTTTTTGTGGAGGGAATATGTCATCTTTGCTTTATAGTCTCTGTTTGAAAGAATGTTTTGGACTAATAAGATTATCCTTCATGAATTTGACTTGTAATACTAAGCATTAGATCCTACAATATCAGACTTAAGGATCTAGGTGCTAGTTTACGATACGAAAAGGAACACATTGTAACTAACTGGGAAATATCTAGCTATTAAATTTGCATGATTTCTTCATATATCTTTATCAGAGTTCTGACTATGCTGACCTCCTGGTGTGATTTGACCTAATTTCAATTTTTTTACATCATACATAAATCTTGTCTGTCAAGATGATGGAATAGCGAAGGTTTTTGTTCGTTCTTAGAAACGAGATTCCATGAAATGATGGATTGATGATCTACATGTAAATCCTTCTGGAAATGTTCTAAGGGTGAAGTCATCAGCTTTGCAATCACACAACAGAAGCCCACTGACTCCTCATCATGAAGTGAGCAATGTTCTCCCTTCTAGCCTCCTTGGAAACCAATTTACCACGGCACCCTGACAAATCACCCGCAAATTCGTCAGACAAAGCAGCGTTATTATAGCCATCTGTCTTGTCATTTTCCCTGTGAATATGGCTAGGCATGAGCAGAAATAGACACCATTAAAATGGATGTACAGCAACCAAGAACGTAAATAGACAGCATTAAAATAGATGTACAATGTACAGCAACCAAGAACACATTAATAGACCACATTAAAATGGATGAGGAAATATAACGTGATGTGCCGCCAAGCAGAGCCATTTCCCACATATCTTTGGACGCGTATGGAATAGGCTAGGCCACAAAATGTTTGCAATTGGAGAAATCTTGTCATTCTATTATGCTGAGGTCATGATGTGTGGTGTGCTAGCCTTACAGGGCAAATATTATCAAATTTACTAAAAAAAACAGGTTAAGAAAAGGAAAATTTGAGATACTTTAAGAAGGGAAACATATTTCATCTGTACAGTGTTAACCTTCCCAAGATGCACCATTTAGATGAATCTCAGAAGTTGAATAATTCACTAGTGTTACTGAAGAGCTCTTAACAGATAAAATCTCTCTTTTCAGAAGCAAGGGTGTTTGATGTGTTCATCTAAATTTGATATGTCAAGAGGTATAAGGATAATAATAGAAGAACATACCCACAGCAGGCCAGGTGACATTTAGTCATGTGTCCTATAGATTATGTGTTAATAGCATTTAAGAAAAAGACAGATTCCGAGGAAACTCATGCATTGAAAATGTTTCCTTTTAATAAATAAGATTGCCACCATGGATATCTTCGGCATTTAACTGTCAGATATGGGAGAGTCTTGTCTGACGGCACCAGGTGGCGAGCTGTGATACCAGAAGAAGTTGTAACTTATCTGACAGACTTCATCCAGTTCTCAGGCACCGCTCCAAAACATTTCATCCATAAGTCGTTTCGTTTTATTAGACGCTGTCACGTCGCTGCCAACTTCTAATAAACGACAGTGACGTAGCTTTACTTTCAAAGATAATAAGTTTGGGAACATCAAAGGAGAAGTTGCTTTCGGGGAGGAATATTGCTTGTATCACAATCACTTCAGGCCATACATGTTGGACAAAACTAATAAGCCACCATGCCCTGAATCACAGTAAAGCTGGAAGGCGGGCTCACTATTGTCACTCAGGAAAAAGACCCCTGCCACGTTCCTGTCTTCCTGCATTATTGCATTATTGGTTTCCTTATTCTATACGTAGTTGTGTCATAAAGTTTGTGATGAGTAGCCCTGTTTTTTGAATCTGGGGATTAAGAGTCAGTTCAAATCCCAGGCTTTGTCACTCACCCAACTTGAAATTTTGAATGATACTGTAGGGTAGATAATTACAGTAACATGTAAAAGTTGCTCTAACTTGAGTGTGTACAAGTTTGGGAGTTATTCACAGCCGATGTGACCATGTCGGCTGTGAATAAAACACTTGGTTGTGTAAAAAGAGTCTCTTACCAACCTGATGAAACTATTCACGGAATGTTAAAAGTTCAGTGTTCTGCATAGAGGATACTTTCTGTTACATAGCTGGGACATAAACAGCAGTGCTCATTCATCATCTCCAATTTAAGCCAATTTAAGTCAAACATTAAAGCTGATCTTTGTAGGGCAGAGTTCAAGTTTGACTGGTACATGTAGTGCAATCTAATCTTACTGAAAGCATTGCCATTTTTCTGGACTACATGCACATGTGCATATAAGCTCTTTTACTCCTATTCCTGCTGATACAGCACTCGTGTACCACACTAGCTGTCTATCAGAGCTTTGAAGTGTACAAAGCTGATAATCTTTTGCCCTTTGGATACCATGTGTGTAAGGCTTAGCACAGATGTTGCTGTCAGATATGAGACTTTCTCATTGATGATAGATAGTACTACTTATTCCAGGAAGGGGAAAATAAACTGTACAATGTATTAGTAAGAATAAACCGCCTATTTTTCCATAGACCTGGTTACAGACAGGTGACCTTATTCACACAAGCTTGAGATACATTGCCTTTACCTTCACATGGCCTAACAAACTACAACTGCTCCATGACGAAAAAGCTAAAACTTTAAGTCCAGTTCAGTTCAGTTCAACTTGGTAAGTTCCAATTTACTTAAAGTTTTAGCCTTTTTGTCATAATGTATTACACCGACACAGATAAACTTTCAAGCTAAAACTACTGCTCTGTTTCAAACAAATTCAAACATATTCATGTTGTATGGAACCAGCCCCCATAACTCTATCCTGCCACTTGCCACTGATACATGTACATAACGATGCAAGGACACATAATATACAAATACTAACACAGGAAAAAGAAAATTCTTCTTGCAAAACTCATGATGTAGCAAACCCATCTGCCTGTCGGTCATTGACACTTTAATGCAGGATGTGCAAGATACATGTATCTAGCAGGCTGGAACTCCGGCTAATTACTGTTATTGATCTTTCTTGAATGCCCTCTTCAGGCCTGATGAAGCTAGCCGTAGATTATGATATTTCATTGAGTCACTGTTTCAAAGGATACTAACAATCATATTATTTGCATGGATATTGGTGTGGGACTCATTAGTTGCCTATGTCTCAACATGATAATAGACACAATGTCATCATACAATACTATGACATTAAGTTTGCAGTGTTATCCCTGGTAACAGTCCATCATATTGGAATAATTGCACTCTTTTCAAGACATACAACATTGCACAGGTCAGTATCCTGTGTTGCCCATGGTAACATTCTACGTGAGTCTCACTGAGCAATCGCAGTTGCTTTTGCGCTTTCCCTCATTAGAAACAAACCCGCCGTGACCAAGTGCAGCTGTATCATTGCTCTAGCCGTCCAGTCTGACCAAACGAAAAGCAGAGCCGTCCACAGCTTGGGAACCTCCCCACCCACCTCCTGCCTCAGACTGTAGCTGACCAGAATCAGGTCCAGCATGTTCAACAACAGCTCCGACCTGTGGACGCTCACCGAGAAATCTGTGCCTGAGTTTGACAGATTGATATCCTGCTACAAGTGGCATCTACAGAACAATGTCTCCATTGCACAAGCCGATGAAGCCTGCTCCATGCACAAGGACCTTGTGAGTTTGGGAACAGAGATTGACATTGTCTTCTGGCTGATGGGACTTCTCATCATCATCAGTAATGCTCCTGTGCTATTGGGAATCATTGGAACAAGAGAACTCCACAGACCCATCTACATCTACCTGGCAAATCTGGCTGTCACGGATGTTTTCGCAGGCATCGGACTTCTGTATCGCATAGTTGGTCATGTCGGACTCAATGTAAAAGCCTTCAAGTTGATCATGACTTATGTCAACTTAATCATATTTAGTCAGATGACATCAGCATCAGCTCTATCCCTGATGTCAGTTAACGCCTATGTTGCTGTAATGCATCCTGAATTCTTCCACATCCACGCTGACAGTGCCAAACTGTGCGCAGGTGTAGCTCTGACTGTTTCATGGATTGTCTGCGCCTTGCTTGCATTCTCACCCATAATGGGCTGGAACTGTCTCCACATGCAGACCCTCACCACTGGGATCTGCATTTCATGGTACCCCCTGTCCTTTATCATCACTTGTGCATCCATACTGCTCTTGCTGTGCATCATCCTGATGTTCACAAATATTAGTGTGTATCTAGCAATCAGGGAACGAGAAAAGAGAAGACTTGTACAGGTAGCTGCAAGGGACCCTCAGGCACCAGGAGAAAATGGTCCTGGGCAAAACAACGCTGCACAAGAGGAGGCTCAGAAGAAATATGAAGAAAGGGTGTACAAGGCTAGGACTGTAATGGTTCATGTAGTGGTGGCATTCATCTGCTGGCTGCTACCCCTCCTGTTCTTTGCAGTCTGCAAAATTCTTCCAGATGTCTGCCCTAGGAACGGTGTACTTGCAGGGATATGTCTAAACTCGCTCATTAACCCGATGGCAACACTCATCCGCATGTCGGACTTGAGGAACACAATTTGGCAAAAACTGACAGGCATCCACCAGACACTTGTCACTGTGATACGGGGAAACCGAGCGGACCCACAGGAAGACCAGGCTGGAACAGGAGAGTTTCTTACTCTACAGGAAGGTCCTGCACATGGAGAGGGACGAAACACACCACGTCTGGCTCCAGATGAACAGTCTTAGCCTGAGTGTTGACATTTCAGCCTTTTTAGCTTTCATCCGCTCCCCACGATCCACTACCAGGCCAAAAGTAATGGATCGTGCCTGGGAGCCAACAAAAGCTAAAAAAAGGCTGACACTCAGGCTAGAATAGCCTGCCATGGAAAACCATCACTGTCAAATCCAAATTTATGAAAGGACATCAGGACCCAAGAACCGTCCAACAGGCACAGTAGAAATCAGCCAACAATTGTAGAAATAGACTGTACTGTTATGATTGTACAATTGGCCTAGCTGATTCAGAACCTTTCCACAGAAAGTGAATAAAGACTCTGCTCAATTCAGGTCAGACTATAGAATCAACTCAGGTTAATTTGACAATTTTAAACTCAAATATTGTTGCAGTAACAAGTTATATAATTATAATAAATGATTATTTTTCAGACTGAATGCAGGATGGTCCTTCCACACGGACAAGCTGACGTCGTTTCAGAAGCAGCCGCCGCTGAGCAAGGAGGAACAAGATGCCATCCGCAAGGTCATGGAGAAGGCAGACTTCATGGAGCAGATGGAGCAAGAAAGAGTCGGGTACGTCATCACATCTGTCACGTTTGCATATATGGAAGGGGGAAACGGGGGAAAAGTTCATTTAGTGAATTAGCTCACTGAAGAGCTTCCACTGGTTGTCACAGAGGAGACATAATTACAGATTCATTGCATAGAACTTTTCAACATGCACAGCGAATAATGTACGCCAAAAAATAGTTACTCATTGCAACTAGATATGATTTTGGAAATGATCCAAAATCCAAGGTACTATACGTTTCAGGTAGCATCCACTACCTTTTGTCAGTGACACAATGAATAATGGACCATGGCTTTGGGAATGGATGCAGCACAATAAACAGTGGACCACGGCTTTGCAAATGGATGCTGTATGGAGTTGAAAAGAAACACTCTGGTTTTGTTGGGTTAAGTTGCAATGGGAATGCACATGTAGCATCAGCCATCAGTCAAGTGGCAGCTTTCAATCATGAAATGTACAATGACATGAATCTTATTTTTCATCAAGGTACCCCAAAAGATGGCTTAACCTTCTCCCCACTGTCTAACACCATGACCAATAGTTCATACCAAATGGCTGACTTAGCAGGCTAAAGGTTAAAGTTGACCCTTGGATATAGCATCACAATCTAGAAATCATTGAAAGTTGGCATTGGTATCACAGGAAGTTAGTATAATATTCAATTGACCTAAAATAACAATTCAGTGAGGAGTTTGTTAAAAATTTCTTTCTTGCTTGCAACTCTCACTTTAAAAATAGATAATAGACAGGTGTATATAGGCTGTCATGATCAATATACAACACAATCATAGTTCATTGATTGATTTAATTCTAAGTACCACTGATGGAATTATTGTATTGAAGTACTGTAATAGTATATTATAAGCTGCAGTGAGTATAGGGCTGGCTTATACATCCAGAAATCTGCACAGCACTTCAAAAACACATCCTCCTGCCCTCCCATCGCATTCAAGTTGTGGAAGCAGTCGAAGATTTATTACAAAGCTGCCTGGCTCTGTATATTTTGGGCCACAGTTGCGCCCACATTATCTCAAGAAATCTCCAACCACTCCTTTTAATCCTATTAAATGCCTCACACAAGTGTATCGCTTGATGACTGCATGTGGAATTGAAAGGTATTCTCTTTTGTGCGCTTAATCAGTTAATGCGAATCCTTAGGAGGCCGGCAAATGGAACTGGCGTGCTTAATGGCTTTGCTCTCTGTGAAGGACAGACAAAGTGGATGTTAAAATGCACTTTAAGTGATATTGATGGCTCAGGAAAGATTTAAGGAGGTTACGCTAAAAGGTGAACTTGCCAGCCATGAACTTGAGATTCCCGTATTTTAACTCTAGCCGTGTGATATGTCTAAAGGTCAGATCAGAGTGCAAGATTATTGTGTATGATATACTTTACAACTGGCATGAGGCCAACATTTGCCAGCTAATGCTGGATAGTTACCCCCCATTATTGTCTGAATCTTGTCGTCTTAGTAAGATTTTTTTACCATGATATGGACAAGGATAATGCAAAAGAATTAGGGCATGAAATGTGATATTGTTATTGGTAAAAATTATCAAAAAGGAGATGGAAAATACCCAAAACACATGACCGTGGATGAAATCGTTTAAGATCAATCTGTGAGAAAGAGCAATAAAAGATCACCCATTTAGTATGAAGTTAACCAAGTCTGTTCAAAAATATTTTACCAGGAACTGGCCTAGAAAAGCAGACAGGAACAATCTATTTCCATAACATGGAGGGAAACATAATATCACAGAAAGGACATGAAATCCCCTGTTTCTAATGAGCTCAGTACAAACATGTAACTACTAATAGACACTGAATTTCAAGAATATGATACATTTTGTAAAAGCACTCACTAGATTGCAAGAAATACATCAAATATGCGACCTGCTGTTGCTTATATGATATATCTAATACAGTTGAGAACACTGTGATGGTATATGGAAAAGGCAGTAGTTAAAGTAGAGTGATGAATGTCATCTGAGTTAGTGAGGATAACGTCTCGTATCACTAAGCACTGGTCAATACTCCTAAATCACCTGCCGAGGGGTCTGTAATACCCAGATAGCCCCGATTCTAATCAGCTCAATCAACCGTAGGGTATCGCTACGGCAACAGGAAATTGACAGGTCATCAAAAAGGCTTTTCTCCGGATCAGAGAGACACAATTTGCATTAATGCTATGTTTGACCTTCCTTTTTCTAGCTATATCCTTGAGGGGTGTTCACTAATACCATACTGATTGCATGTTTGTAATTTGGTAAAAGCGTGTATGAATCTTGGTAACGTGTAGTTGTCAACTTGTCCAGCAGTAATTGTACTGAAACCCGTTAATTGGACCGAGCTGTTGCGTAAGTAGTTGATTCTCCCAGCGTACAAACGATGACGGACAAGCTGACATCTGCTCCCAGCCTGCTACATTAGTGCTAATGGGACTAACCTTGATGGAAATGTATAGTAAACGTACATGTAGGGCTAGTTTCAAAAGTTAATGTAACATTTCTAAAGGACATTTTTTTCTCACAAATTTTAAGTTGTTTTTTTTACCGTCTTCCAAGTTAACTTCTAGGTCGTCAGAGTTTTGCAGGAAAATACTGATTGAAACAGGCGTGCAAAATGAATTTTTCTTTCACTTTCCTTCTGTAGTGGGTTGCATGTGTGTTCATAATATGTGATAATAGTATTACCACTAAAACAAATATGTAACACATTCTAACCTTGCAGAAACATACAGTTTTTTGCAAACTGGTGCAAGGAATTTTAAAGCCTTAGCCAAGGGATGCTGACCTAATAATGCATGAACCCCATCTAGCATACGTTTGCAGTACTGCAGCATCCAACGAGCTACAGTAGGGCAAGTAAGTCTGAGACATTGGTGCTGTACATGGTGGTGAGGTGGCCACTCAGGCAACAGCAATGGACAAACAGAATTCAGCTGGTGTTAGTTCTAGTGACAACATTCCCATGTAGATAGTGACAGGGAAATTCTATGTATTCTCATCTGTGCTGTCCTTGGTGCTGAACTGTTGTTATTAGAACCTAGAGCGCATTGGATGGCAATATCATACTTATGAATTATGCACACTCAGAATGGATACTCTTTTGCCATTCTACCTGCTTGGTGTCACTTTATGTCAATTTGGTGTCAAATTACTGTAAATTTAGAAATCTCATTGTTTTTAAGTTTGTTGTTTTCTTAATGACCTTCTATCACACTGCAAACCTATTCTCGTTCTTCTGTAAGTTTACTGCATTACTGTATTACTAATAAAGCTGTTTCAGCCGTGAACTTGAAGATACTGCAAACTTCTTACTTTCAACATGCCAAGAAACTTCTGAAATTTTAGAAAAAGATTTACAGTTTGACAACATTAGAATATTCAAGAAGTTGTTACCCATTCCACTTTTATTTCTTTCCTTTCTTTAGCTGCCTTGTGGATAGATTAGACAACATGAAGAAAGCTGCCAAGGGCAATGGAACAACCCAGTGTGTTCTGTGTGGGGATGCCTTCAGGATGCTGGGGTCTTCACCTCTCACATGCTGTGACTGCAAAAAGGTACAACTACACTCTCCTGCCAGCTTTTAAAAGTTGTCAAACCTGTGTTTTGTACTTCTGCAAAAGGCCATTGTGGTTTGTTGATGGTTGTTTGGTAGTTCCTTATGAATTACGTTCCTCATAAGCCCAAAAATGATCACCTGTGTGCAGTAATGTTCTATAATAGTAACACTCAAGTCCCTTGTGTGGTAACTATAGACAGTTACAATTTCTTGCTACTTTCAAAGTACATTGCATTACATTGTATTAGCCAGTATAATACTTTTCGTACTTTGCAGTATTTTATAGACTAATAATACACTGTACAATATCCTCATTTTTTCCAGCATGTTTGTTCCAAGTGTGGAGTAGAGCTCACCACAAAGTTTGGCAGCCAAAGTTACCTGTGCAAGATTTGTAGTGAGAGTAGAGAGGTATGTCTTGTTAAGCTTATATCAGCTGCATTAGACAATCAGTTACAGAGTAGGAATAGAGGATGGCATATTGTCCCTTGGTGATAGATTGCATAATGGGTGAAGCGAAATAGACGGGTAGCTTGCACAGTTCATCACTAACTATTACTGTGGATTCTGATTGCTGTTTTATGGAGTATTTGTCAAGACTGAGACAAAATATATTGTAAATGACAAATTGGAGGATGAATTTTGCATCTATGATAAGAGGAGGAATGAAGCTGATACTGATGATGATTATTTAATACTCTTTCTTTCCCACAGATGTGGAAACGCTCAGGAGCCTGGTTCTTTAAGGGGCTTCCTAAGTATGTCCTGCCTTCGGAGCAGCAGAAGAAGGACGATTCTCGAGGCAAGGGCGCCCGAGGAGGGTACGGTGGGCGCAAGGCTCGGGGCGGCAAGTCTTATAACACCTGGTCTAAAACTCGAGGTATGCAACTTTGGTTGTTACAGTCAGTGTGTGTGTGCTTGGAGCTATACAAGGTTACCAAGTGTAAGTAACGTATACTGTAATTGTTTACAGAAAAAGGTATGATATGGCACTGTCTATGCAAAGACATTTTCAATTTTATTTTACATTTGGGCCTGTAATGATCTGTATTTCTGAGTTATTCAATAGAATTTCTCCCTTTTTTTGCAGATCTTTGGTTATGAAAAATTGGAGTTAGAAATGATTGATTCCTTTAGTTGACTCTTTCCAGACATAGCATCACTAACCATATTCATAAAATGGAACATTGATTAATCCTGCTACAAGACAACTTTGTGTCTTGCAGGAGGTAAGGGTGGATCAGCGGAGTACAGCGATGAAGAAGAAGATGAGAGTTCAGAGGATGAGATCAGCCTGGGACGCAAACCCCGGGGGAGGGGCAGGGGCACAGCATTAGCAGCAGCAGCAGCAACGGCTCCTCCTGTGGAGTCAGGTAAGAACTGCAGGAGCTGCACTGCATCTCATATTGTTTGGATGGAATCAAAAACAAAATTCCATATATCAAATACTATAATTAATGTCACCACTGAACTCTAGTCATAGGCTCTCAATTACAGACAATATTTCACTAATTTTCTAGGTTATAAAAATATATAAGGCCATACTGACTTAATTTTAGGGATGACATCCTTTGAAGACCCCCAAACTAGCTAGTACGTACGGGCAAATAAAAAAGATTCCAGCGAAATAAATGATGCTAAACCACAGCTGGTATTGGCTTCTTTAGATGCTGATTCGGCCAGCATCGGCAGCTATAACAGCAACCCGCTTTACGATAGCCGAACCAGCATCACCAGCGCAGGAGCCTACAACCAGCACAGTGCCACAGAGAGCATGTACGGAGATGTTGCTGAGGACGCACTGAGCGCTGGAAGCCCCAGTAAGTCACAGTTTAACCTATAGCGAGGGTTCATTATGCTTAAAACATGCCTTCAAGGTCCTGGAAATTGGTGGTGAAAAAGGCCCATCCTTGAGGTGTTGCCAAAATTTCTCATTAGAATTAATGAAACAATGTAGACATAATTATATTAAAGCTATGGTTTTAGACATAGTACTGCCTAATAATTCCACAGATTGTTTGTTTGAGACACTCAGTACTATGCCTAAAACTATGCATAGCCTGCATGTACATGTAGTACCAAAAGCTTATAGTTGTATAGGGCAATATCCTTAATGTTGTATCATAAATCATGATAGATTTTGAGAGAAGCAACTTTTCAGTTGATATTGTTAACAGTATGTATTGAAGAGACTCAAAAATAAAAATTTTTCACAATTTTAACAGCTCTTTGAAAATGTAGGTGCTAGTCCCACTGCCCTTTATGTATTCTGACAAAGTAGAATGACTCCGAAAACCATTTTTGCAGAGATCCAGACAATACAGGAAAGCCAAGAAAAGAAGGGATCGTCAGGAGGTATCAAAACTGTCACCCACAATCATCACACAAGAATGACTCTCACAAATATACTAACTTTAAATTTGTTTTAAATTACTAGAAAGTACCTAACAGCTGGGAAATTTGTGTAGCTACGGTAGCTAACATAATGGATTCTTAATTGTCTGTGCGCTGATATGAGCTACTGGTAACATTTGCAATGCTTTAAACTTCATTTTAACATTCTTAATTGATAGTTGTAGTAACATGAATTGATCAAGTCTTACAACAACCTATTTAATAACCTTGAATGCATGATTGAATAGATTACCTAACACACTGTTATATGGTTTGATGATTATCAATTGTAATATGTCTCTATTTTGTGTGTTATAATGATATAATTGTAGATTCTGAATGTATATTAGTCTGAATAGCAATCATTTTGCATGATATATACAGTTGATGCTTCCGTTTATTTGCATTCCTTTTTTTGCTCATTGCTAACTTTTATTAGTGGGATAAAGATTTTTTTCTCAATTCTTGTTCATAAAGAAAAAACATACTGACAGCTTTGATACAGCCTCCAATGATGCAGCAGAAACCAACACTTATATAGTTTCAGAACAGAACAATCATTAACTTAAACACTTACATGTAGCTCCAGATGATTGGTAATAGTACAGCAGGCTATGAAGTAAACCCACCCTAACGCATGACACAATGCCCCCCTCCCCAGGCCTGAGTCGACACAGCTCAATGCGTTCTCAGAGCAGCATCCGGACTGACCGGTCCGACGGCGTAACATGGAGGCAGAGCCGGGAAGATGACTATTATGAAGACGAGTATGATGATGCGGGAGTTTATGTGGGACCTCCGCAACATTCTCAGCTCCCCGTGGACGAACACGACGTGTACAGTCCTGACTTTGAGGAGGAAGACAGTGAGTATAACACACAATCATACATTGTCCTAACACGCTAACAGAAAATTTCTAATGTATAAACTATAATGTACAAGAAATCCAGTCACCAAGAAAATGACATTATATCACATTCATCTATTTTACTCCAACAGTTACATGTATTTATCCCATCTACAATATATCCTAACGTCCGTTACAGCATAATTTTGACACTTACAAGACTTACTGGATCAGATATCAATGATCCTTTTCCCCTGATTGAACTAATAGGGAGTGTTTAACTTAATAACATATTTTTGAAACTTACAGATGATAATGTTGTTTTTAATTTTAATTAATTAAAATTAATTGTTGTGGATAAATCTTGGTACTAAGTCCTAATTTTGTGACAATATCATTTTAGATAAAATTGTCAAAATTGTTATGTATTGTCACACAGTCAGAACCTGTTACCAAGATTTATCCATAATATAATGATTTATATTTTTGAATGCTGTGAGTTCCTTAACAGTGTGGCATGACATGTCTGGATGTTGTTATCCTTATTAACACGTACAGCGACTCTCGGCTCCATTGAGTTCTCCATGCTGTACGATCCCCACAACGCTGCCCTTCACGTTAACATCATCCGGGCACGGGTAGGTGCAACATAACAATAGGGCGAACATGTAACCATCGTCTCTTCAATCTGTGTTACACAGTATGCAATAGCAACTGACCCGGCCTTACAGCCTACTTTAAGTCCTGGGTACCTACATGTAAATTCAGCCATCAGCCAATCAAATACTCCCCCAACTGTTAGAAGGCAATTTATCAGCCAATCACATCTCTGCTCACAGTCAAGAAGCAACAGGATTGGTTGGCTAAGTTTCTCTTCAACAACTGGCAGAAATATTCTACACAAAAAATTAAAACAGATTCTGAACAGCAACAATAAACAATGACATACCATTCAATTACGTCATCATGCCAGAAAACAATAACTGACATTTTGCAGAAATCTCTAGATTAGTCCTTGGTTGAATATCATGAATTTCACATGGTTGTTGTGAAATCATTTTCAGGGTATCAAGCCCATGGACCACAATGGGATGTCTGACCCCTATGTCAAGTTACATCTCCTTCCTGGAGCCAGTAAGGTAACTGTCTATGTCTGACAACTGCAACTTAGACTAAACTAGACAACCACAATCAACTAACAAGCACCACCACGAAATAACATTTCACCGTTTACACTTACGATAAATGTCATTTTGCTATTATGAAAAATATGGGTACAATTGGTACGGCATGAATTAGATTACACTCACTAATCAATTATAAATTTACTACACTGACGGTTACTTAATTTTACTGGGTCAAGTTCTTGTTAACTTATACATTGTCCAGCAATAAAAAAAGATTGATTGGAAGTGGTCAAAGACTTTGCAAGATGGGGACAACAATAAAATAATTCAGTTTTAAATGTGGTGTAAAGTTACATTTTAATGTGAGGTACATAATGTCTGTCTGTCAGTGTGGCATGCTATATACTGCAGCTCTTTCATGTGTTTCTGAAATGTTGGAATCTGTCCCTGCTCTAACGCTGACTCTCTCCTATGGAACTGTGTGTAGAGTATGGTAGGTGTCTGTGCACATGATTGCTACAGCTCTTTCTATACTTCTCATCTTTTCTGTGCTGCATTAACCTGTTATTGACAGAGGTCAAAACAATGGCATTGACGTGTTATTCAGTGTTCCTGTAAGATTCATAAAGCTCAGCATCATATTCTATCAATGTCTCTTTTGTCTCTGCCTTGTACAATACACATAGTATTACACATAATGTATTGTGTAGTAGCTACCGCTGTGTAGCAGCTATGTATGCTCTTAATGACACTGTCTGTTCTCTGAATAACATGGTGGTCTCATTGTCTGCACAGTGAAGTATAATCATGGTAATATCGTTGTTTCACACTTCTTATGTAATCATTTGACTATTATAGTAGTAGTATAAAATATACTCTCTAATCTTACACATTTGTAACAGACATTAGATTTTATGTGACACATATCAGGCTAGCCTATTGTATATGTAATATCATATTATGATCATAGTACTCATAACTGCCTCCTATCATGTTATAATGGTGCTAACAATTTACTATTCATTTAAATTTAAGATGAAAATACTCATTTAAAAGTTAAACAGTTATGGAACCCTTAACGTGTATATGTAGCACATCCTAACACTGTTGTTTCTATACCTACTCTCTGCACACACTACTTCCTATCCATTGTGTGAGTAACAAATTCTTTGTCCTTGTGAAACAAAATACATAATCTTCCCTTAATATCAACCATAAATATTTTAGGTAAGAAACATTGTCTCCTTTGAATGCAGCTTTAGTTAAAGTTATTTCCCATTGCTAAACACACAATGTAGATTAAGATAACATAAAATTATGTCATGTGTAAATATGACAATGCTTTACCTATAACATCAAAAAGTATCATTCTATGACTTCAAGTAGATAGATTCAACTTTAAACTTATTTACACTGAATCAAACTTATTGAAATTGTACTAATTTTGGAAAACATTTTGCAGGCTAACAAGCTCCGAACAAAGACCTCATACAAGACTCTGAACCCCATCTTCAATGAGACCCTTACCTACTACGGCATGCGTGATGATGACATACTTAGAAAGACCCTCAGGTGAGCTAGGAAAACTGTGTATTTGTCTGGAGCCATACACAATTGCATACTGCATTCTGGGCACTACATGCTGTAGAGATGGAGATGTACAGTATATTAATTTTGTATCATGATCATCATATCAAACAACAGTCAGCCAATATCACATTGCTTACATGATGTTATAACTCTCTCCCACCCTGCAGACTCACAGTGTTTGATGAGGACAGGTTTGGCCACAATGAGTTTATTGGTGAGACTCGTGTCCAACTGAAGCGCCTCAAACCCAACCAGACAAGACAGTTCAACGTCTTCCTGGAGAAGATGATGCCTGTGAGGAACATCTTCCTTTTAAGGCCTTATCAATTCTAAATCATTAGTTCTTGGTCTGACTTGTCTGTACTTTGTTGCTAACTTTCAGCAAATGAATATTAGTCAGGTTCATGTTCTTGTTACAGGTTCGTGTTTTCATCTCTTGCTACATGTAGATTTATTTATTACTTGAGCTGTTTGAAAACAAAGACAATGAATGGGGTGGTATTAGGATATTTTTCCTTATTGCATGTCAGAAAAACATTCTAAGGCCACACAATTTATGTCAGACCAAGTAAAATTGTCGTAATCTCTTTGTGTGAGTTGAGCCTTGAAAAGTCTTGCTTTTGCAAAAAAATGTTAGCCATATTTTCTACATCTACATAATACAGGACAAAGTGCCTCATGGCACATCGCGTCCTTGATAATGACTTCATTTTGAAATGCTTGCCGTTTGATTGACAGCTGGAGAAGGATGACGACCTGATGTACGAGCGCGGTCGCATCCTGCTGTCGCTGATGTACCGCTCGCAGCGGCAGCAGCTGGTGGTGGGGATCATGCGATGTGCCCACCTGGCAGCCATGGACCCCAATGGATACTCCGACCCTTATGTAAAAGTGTAAGGAGGAAACATTTGCCTCTCTATTATATGCATTGTGTGTGCTATCCTTGCATTTTATGTGCAGATGGCGTTCAGCACCAAGGACAGGCTTGTGTTTCCTATGCGCATGTATGTGCCCTCAATTAAAGGAAAGATTTTGTCACAATCTCCATAGTTTATCCAGTAGTAGAGTCTGAATTTGAGTATTATTTCACAATGATTGTGGAAGTCCTCTTCACAAAGCAACAAATGCATTATATAATATAATAATAGAGGTAACAAAATGTTTAAACCATAACTACAATGATACAAATGTATAATAATGCTGCTTTGCCTTATTTCTAATAGGTACCTCAAGCCAGACTACAAGAAGGCAACTAAACACAAGACAAGGATGCTGAAGAAAACACTCAATCCAGAATTCAATGAGGTGAGAAAAAATTCATACAGGTTCATCAGGAAAAACATACATTACAAGGATTGCAAACTAAGGAATTTTCGAGACGTAACAAATTGTTAAGTTTAGGAACACTGCAAGTATTTCATACCTACAGTGCAATGTTTACCTCCTTGACAGGAATTTGTGTATGATGTGAAGCTGAATGAGCTTGCCAAGAAGACCCTGGAGATCAGTGTGTGGGACTACGACTATGGCAAGGCAAATGACTTCATTGGTAAGGCAGTCTTCTCACACGTTTGCTATTGTCATTAAACTATAATTTTCATTCAGTCATTCAGTCATTCATCCATCCATTCACTTACTCACATACATACATTGGATACCAGCCTAGAAAAGAATAAGAAACAATCATGCCTTCAAATATGATAGTTACATGTATCAACCAAGAATTGAGGTGTTCAAAAACTCATTGCCACCAGGCACAATTGTGGCGTCATCACTAGAAAGCTTTAAACAACTCCTGCAATTTAATGTGCAAAGATTGAGTGTAACAGGTCGTTCGGTGTGGTATTAGTAGCTACTGCCGTGCTACAAAGCTGGTATGCTATGCCGAAGGGCAGTTATACCAGCTATACATGTACATGTACATCGGTAGATACAGACACAGATTCATTTACAAAATTTTTCCCTGTCCCTTCCAGGTGCTGTACAGCTGGGGGTCCAGTCTAAGGGGGAGCGCCTGAAGCACTGGTTTGACTGTCTGAAGTACCCCGACCGCAGACATGAGCGCTGGCACGTGCTCATCGAGGAGTTTGACCCCATCACCACTCCCACCGACACAGTCCGAGATTAATCACACTCGCTCCCAGCACGTCAGCAGTACGTTCTGCACCTGCGCAAAACCCGTAATGTATTGTGCATAGCACTTTGGCAGAACATCTCGTATAATAGTATTCGAGCATATGAGGTAAACATCCCGTCCGAAATTTCCAAATGTTGTGTTGGAAAAGATACCGTCTACAACAGGCAAAATTCTGATGCAACGGTGACCAAACATCCAACGAAAACCGTGAAAAATTATGGGTATTGTGCAGGCGCAGTACATTCTGCAGATGTGCTGCCACTCCCCACATTCAAACAACTTCACAAGGTGCAGGAAAGATATTTATAAACACACTGCAGAAACAGTTAGCCAAGCAGTGATGACATCCATGCAGCAATCACATGTATAAGGCTTTTGCTTCCAAGCAATAATCATCTTTTCCATCAACGCTTTTTGATGTTGAAATAGATGTTTTAGTCAATACCATATAACCATTACCATTAAAAGAATTGTCAGCTCACAAATTGTTGTAGACTGCTTAATTGATACCTGTAGATAGCTTTTAATTGATTAATTGATTGAATTATGAGATAGATTTTTATCTTACACAAGGTTTATCTTACACAAGGAAGTTTTACTCTGAGAAATATTTTATTGATAAAGTTGATAGGAGGTACTTAAAGTTCTATTCAGAAACTGAGTTGAATACTCGACTCATAGGTTAGGTTACTTAGTATATGCAGATGTCTCCAAGTTGATTTATTAAGAACTAAAATCAACATGGTTGATTTTAATAGATGTATTCAAATTGAATTTATTATTGAAAGAATTAGATTGTAATTACTTCAAGCAAGTAAGGGTTATTTGAAAGAGATTATACTCACTTCACTCACTGGTTACAAAGAGTTGACGCATCAACCTAGTTTCAAATATTTAAAGTTCTCACAGAAGACAGACTAATATATATAAAAGGGAACCATGTTTGAATGAGGCATAGATACATGTATGGCATTAAATACTTAAAGAACATGAATGGAATTGGGAGATATTTTAAAGATTTGTGATGGCTTTTAGATTAACTGGATATCACTGACTTTACAGTTCTGTAAAATGTCTTAAGATTGGTGTCTTCTTAAAGGTTTTAGAAAAACAGATTATCATGATCATAGATCATAGACCATGAAAGATGCAATGAATGGCAACTTTGCAATGCGTGATAGAAGAAGTAGCTTTAATGTTTGCAATGCTTAATAGTGTTAGCTGGTCACATTTGCTCGCATTGCAGATTACACAAAAATTCACATTGTAGCTGCTTACGTAATATGCATAATGACAATATGTCTACCATCTTAGTAATGATCATACAAATATGATATAGATGACAGTGAACTTCAATCTTCAAATTTCAAACAACAAATCACTTGGTTGCAAATACAGTACATATTTAACAAATTATGTAAATGCTAACCAACTTCTTCAATTTGTCTTCTTGCAAACAGATGGTAGAAGGAACACTGAATTCTAAGTTGAACTTATTTGTAATGATTTTAAACATTTTCGTAGTAAATTTATGCTAAGCTTATATATGATTAGGGCACAATAAATGATTAGGTTTGAAAAATGTACATTTTATACCATTCATACATGTACTAACACAAACTTTAGAACTAAATACTGATGTTTCTTTTTAAGTTACGATAGACAACAGTACTATAGTGTGCATTTTTAGAGAAAAAACAATATTGTGTATTTTTAGTGTGTCGGTAATGGTTATTTATCAAATATCCGTGTGTGAACTTCTCATTTTCTGTTGTATTATGTTAACTTAAAAAGTTTGTTTTTATTCAAGTTTATGAAATCAATGTATAATTTAGCTATTCAAGAAATTTTTAAACTAGGTTCAACCAGTGTGCTTCATTTAGTAGATTGAATACTCCAGATAAGGCAATGGCAGCTCATCACCTAAAATACATTCTGTATTTCTTCAGTTTTAAAGAAATGTTACCATACACACTTCACTTTTAGTGAACTATAGCCAAAGGGTCAACAACTGTAAAAGATACAGATGTACATGTATATTCTTCATGTTTGCTGCTTTTACTCTCACATTGAAGGCTAGTCAATGTTATCATATCTTCTCATATTTATTGAACACCTTTATTGAGCTATTTTGTGTGTACAGCAGGCTTTCAGTGAGCCTCTCTCAAAGATCTTTGTGCTTAGATTGATGGACGTGTTTACTTACCTCAAAACTGCATTAGAGCTACATGTAATAGGTAAGGTTTTATGAAACCTACTTAATGTGACAAAACACAACACACCAAAGGGATGTTGTCCATTCCAGAAGGAAAACACAATCATTACAAACTGTCTGAACTTCTCAAAAGAAAGGATACGATTTGTTGGTAGTGAGAAATGTTCAGTTGCAAATAAGAGCTTTTCATGTCATTGTCACATATATAGTACAAACATAACTACATACTGTTCACTGCAGCCTTTCCAGATCTATGATTCACATGACATGCATAGAACATGTCTCCAACACTGATGTAGCTTGCATGCAGTTGTGGACTGAATGGGACAGAGCCAAAACACAGAAGCACCCTGCATGGGTAAGCATCCTTACAGTCAGTATCTGAACCATTGGACAAAAAAAGGGCTGTGAAAATGAAATCTGAGTTGAAGGTGTTGGGACTCAGGATATAAGTGGGAAATATGATATGAAAGAATTTAGAATAAAAAGGGGAGGTGTCTTTGGAATCATATTAGATTTTTGGCATGAAAGAAATTCAGAGCTTAGTTGAATTGAATTTTGATTCATTCATTTGCAATTGCACTGAATAAATGAAAGTGAAATGTGTAGATGCCTACATGTACTCTTTAGGTACATAAATATACAATGTTAATGCACGTCTCACCCCACCATGTCAGGCTCTGTTTCTGCACAGCATTGAGAGAAACTTCTGTCTATTGGCTCTGCTGGTATGACTTTAACATTTGCCATTGACTGTGGTACCAATCAAGAGGGTTGTACTTAATGGACATAAGAATCAGTCACTATGATGTAGCACACTTGACTTTATTATTCTGCATGTATAATCATAGGAGCATGGCTGATGCGAAAATAAATCATTGGACAATCATGTGTTGTACATTCGTCAATTATGTGTGTCATTGACTTCAGTCTCAGCTGTATTATAATCATTTAGTGTATCCCTGCCCATTGCATTTTTTGGATGCGTTTGTGTGCCTACTACAAGTTTACATGATGTTCTTGAAGTGCCAACTAGTGACGGGTGAAGGTACTGCAGCTTCTGACGTCGATTCACCATCACAAACAAGCTGCACCTGACTGTGACCAGCGCTCCTGAGTTGCCGCCCAGTGTGCTTATTCCTCATGTCACAGACATGTGCTAATTATCATTAATAAATTCACACACAACTTGTTTCATACTCATTCACAATATTTGATGACAGTTTTATTGCAGCCACACCCTTCATGAATGAATATAACATAGTGTTTGTCACAACTTCAATATCATTAACATTACCAAGAATAATCTCTTCTCTGCATTGATAAAAGTCTAACATTTTCTTCTTAAATGAAGTCCATATGTGTAAATATTGTCATGAACTAAAAGTTGTTCCAACACTTTTTAAACCATAACCTGAGACAGAAATAAAATACACCAAGCTTGAGTGAACAGCTTGAGTAACTGCTGACAATATCTCATTGACGTATTATCTAATAACCTATGTAAAGAATGAGGAATGTTTTAATCACTAACAACTTACCAAGACAATTATCTATGACAAAGGCATACAATTATACACTGATGATACGCAAGCCACAGTAAATTCAACATATATTAGGCACTATGTGGCAGCAGCATCAAGTATTTGTTCCTTTCAACTAAAATCAGCATTTGTAACATGTACATGGCTGAAATACTACTTGAGTGCACGATTTGCAGAGCTCAATTTATCAGAAGATGACTACAGAAACCACAAAGGCATGAAATTTTACATGTACTACAATACATCATACACCACAATGTACAAACAGTTTCTACAAATTTGCCTTGCAATCTTTGCATACTTTTGCAACATACTAGTACAACAGTATATGCCATGCATTCACACAGAATCAGCTATGCATTCATAGTAAATTGTTAAAAGTAGAAATACAGCAAATGCTAATGGTACACAAGAACAGGACCGCATAAATCGGTAATCAATTAAAACTTCCTTTCAAGAAGGAATCTTGAATCAAGTTACCTAGCTAGAAATCTTAACAAATTGTTTAGATCTGAAACAGTTGTTGGTAAGACATGAAGGCTTTCCACAATGTTCAAGGGACTAAAAAAATGGTAAGCTTAAAGTTTTGCACTATCGTATAACTTCATCATAATTGCCTGCTTTTGAGCTCAGAAAAGCATATAATCTCACAATGTCTTTGAAAAATGCTGAAATGCTAGACTAAGTCTAAGAACATTTCCTACATGACTGGATATATTATCATCATTCTCACAACATGAAACAGTGGCATAATCATGATAAAAGTAGCAGTTTTTCCTTTGCAACCTTTTGGAAGAAGTTTATCACAAAATTAATGTAATTTTGTTGAAGTTTACAGTCACACACAAGAGACACACACACTTCACACCATTCCCCTTACAAAGGCCTACATGTGTATAAGTTGCTTTGAAACATTTACAGTCAAACCTCTACATAAGGATTACCTTATATAGCCATTGTGGCCACTTTTTGTGGTCCCTTGTATTATTTTCCCCTTTAAAAGCAGTACGATACTGTCTACTGTGGTCTACTGCCACCATTTTCTTTGTTGTCCCTTGTCGGAGTGGTCGATATAGACAGGTTTGACTGTATCTTGATTGTCAGTGTTGAATTCCCTGTTGGAAGAACCATGCTCAGTTGCTCCCTACCAGCTGCCCTGTAGTTCAGGAATGTGGTAGTAGAGGTCCAGAGACTCGGGGTTGGAGTACGCCCCACGTTGTTGGATGTCCTCCCCGGCGAGAATCCGCTTCACGGCAACCTCTACCTTCTTCCCACTGATGGTGTACTGGGCAAGGGAATATCAACAAAACTCGGTCATTTGTTACCTAAGTGAAGGAGGTATCTGGGAGTATGTACATTGTATGTATGTGGACAAGGGTTTGAGATAGTTGCCATGTACATTGTATGCTTGGATTGGGATGATAGTTGATAAGTTATGATCCCTGAATTAAGAAAGCACATAATTTGTGGGCCTCTTAGCAGCTTAACACATTACTGTAACAGTAGAAATGGTTGTTATAATTTCGGTGCTGGTCTTTCAGCAGGCAGATAGCTTTTGGTGTCAGAAAAAATCTGAGTCCCCTAATATAAGTTGTCATAAGATTGATTTGGAGGCCTGTACAAATTGAAGGTAAGAAATTAGGTCTTAGTGCTTTCTTCAACACACACCCATTTGTATTCCCCGACAGAAAGCACTTTTTTTTTAAAGCCAGGCAATCTTGAAAATCAAGCAAGCTGCAGAGGGCAAGTTGCAGAGGAAGGAAGTGCTCCATAGAGAACATTCATGTGCTGTCCTAAATTCTATACAAGACCCCAAACTCACAGGTATGTCCTTGGTCTCCATGATGATAGCCGGGACATGCCGTGCAGACAGCTGGGTGCGAATGGCGGCACGTATTCTCTTCTGAAGCTCCTGGGACATGGCGGCGCCGGCAGACATCTTCAGGAACAGGATCACCCTCTCCTCGTGGTACTTGTTCCTCTGGGGGACACACAGACTGTCCTGGATCTCTGGGAACTCTTCCACTGAAAGATATATGTACAACATTTTCCCATTACATATATTCAAGAACAATGTACATCAACGTACACCAAATGTATACCCTTCTTGTTATTGAACATGTTATTACCTTGGCACAAGAATTTTGTGGCAAGGTAATCTAATTATGACTTCCTATTATATTTTACTGATGACAAGTCACAGTGAAAGTTTATATACTTTTGTGAAGAAAATAGGGTTTGATTGTGATTACATGAAATTGCAAGATATTATTATATTTCACATTTCAGGTTTTTGAAAGCATTCTGAGACACAAGACTCACCAACATTGTAGATCTCTGCACTGCCAAACCTGACTCCATTAGGATTCAGGGTCCCATCACTGGAAACATGAAAAGATAAAATATTTAATATTACCTTTTAGTGATCTACAAATTCATCATGATTGCATTCACATGTGCACAAGGCTAGATTAGCTAACATTAGATACAAAGCTTCCAATTTTAGATAAAATGCAGATAATACAGTGTAAATATTATCATAACTAACCTTCTTCCCAGCATGACAACACCTCCAGTCTTTGGGTTGATCTCACAGAAGTCTCCATGGGCCCAAACACCTGCAGAAAAGTGTTTGTTAGAATATGCATCCATGCATGATAGAGACTATGTATTCCTGTAAACCTTGAGATGTTTCAATCACAAACTTAAAACACCACTGCAACAAACACCATTACCTCCCTTACTGCAAATTCAAATCCCAATAAAAACAAAAAAAAAGACTCAAATTTGGAGAAAACAGGATTTTACATTCAGTATAATTCATGGAAAGGCTATTTTACCCTGGAACTTGGCAAAGTAAGCCTTCTTGTACTTGAAACCTTCTGGGTCATTCCAGAAGACAGTAGGCATGGAGGGGAAGGGTTTGGTGCACACTAACTCCCCACTTTCACCAAGCACTGCCTGGCCTGTAAAGTCAGAGAAACAATGAAGATGAATGTATATGTTTTTGGGAGGTAATCTGAGACAAAAAGGGAAGAAGCAAAAACAGAGATGGTCCTAGCTCCACAATGTATATATTCCAATATGTGAGTCAAATAAACATGTCATAGCATGTAGTACATGTAGTAACTATATATACAATGTGTACCTTCCTCATCCCAGCTCTCCACTGCCATCCCCAGACATCTACACTGGATCTCCCCCTTGTACACAGGGGCGGAACAGTTGTGTCCAGCAAACAGGGAGATGATATCTGTACCTCCTAACCAAAGAAAAGCATCAAAGAAGCAGTCAATTAATATTGCAGTTAACAACAGCAAAAACTTGGATCTGATGACCGAAAGAGTACAAATATTTTTGTTTATTCAAATGACTTCCTATTTGCTTTTACCTGTGATAGACCCAAGCAGCAAGTCTTTCTTGATCTTGCTGTAGACGTACTCAAAGCTCTGAGGCTTGAGGGGAGAGCCAGTAGATAGGATGGTGTGGAGGGAGGACAGGTCGTGGGTCAGGGCGGGGTGGACTCCCTTCTCCTCCAGAACTGTCAGCCATTTTGCACCAGTACCCAGCATGGTGATCCTGGGGTGATACATTTCACATTCAAATCATCATCTTGGATCGGACAGCAATCCTCTTGTCAATGGCTATGGGCAGATGAGATGCTACATCTTTTTCTTATCATTTCTTAAAATTCTATGCTTGTGTGAACAAGCAATACATCTGAAAGTCCTAGGACAATACTATAGACCAAATCAGGGCAGACAATACCAGACCATTGCATGACAATACAAACATTCACTGCTGCTTAATACAATGTACATGCAAGTTGTATGAAAGTTCTTTCTCCTTAAATTTAGAATCTCTACACTACTATCTTGAGACTATTTTACCCTATCTTGTCCACCAGGTCCCAGAGGATGTTGGGAGTAGGCACCAGGGGTGATCCGTCGTACAGTACTACTGCAGCCCCCACAGCTAGACAGGACACGAGCCAGTTCCACATCATCCAGCCAGCCTGGGGAGGGGGGCAACAACATGGTCACACTGTCTCACACATCATACTCACATAGTCATCATACAGTCACATAGTCACCATACAGTCATACAGTACTACTGCAGCTCCCATACAGTCACATAGTCATCATACAGTCACACAGTACTACTGCAGCTCCCATACAGTCACATAGTCATCATACAGTCATACAGTACTACTGCAGCTCCCATACAGTCACATTGTAATCAATACTGTGACACGGTACTCACTGTGGTGTAGTAGAGCATAATGTCATCCCGGTCCATGTTCCCATGGATGACATGTTCCTTCAGGTGCTGAATAAGGGTGCCCTGTGTGAAAGGTACATGTATATGTAACATATCAGGCAGGCAAGACAGCTTACAGTTCATTTTTGATAGATGTCGAGTCGTCCAATGTTGCCATACTTAAATAAACCTATATGAAAATGTACACAATTTTCCAATTTTCAGTAAGCTCCAAAAAACAACTCCAATTTAATAAGTACAGTTTGCCCTTACCCCTGCAGAGTGCACCATACATTTGGGAGGTCCAGTAGTGCCTGATGAGTACATGATGTACAGGGGGTGGTTGAAGGGCAGAGGTGCAAACTCCAGAGGTGGGACGACATCTCCATCCTTCCCAGAGGCAAGGAACTCATCCAGAAACAAGCTGGAGACAGGAAATACAGGTTCAAGGCAGCAGAGTGGATTTTCTACGATATTCTTTAAATGAATGTAAAGCATTGACTGATTTTAGAGAAAAGCTACAGAGATTTCAAAAGATGACTGTACCTTTTTGGAATGCTTGATTTATCTATATCTTCTTTCTTGTTCACGTATGGAATAATTACCACCTTTTCCAACTCTGGAAGCCCTGTGGAAAGGAATGTCAGTGACAATTTGTTAGTAATGGTATCAAAAACTGGTTTCCTGTTTACAAAATGAAAAACAAGAAACCTAGTCAGCAGAGGTGTTATTAGGTCATTGGGTTCAAAATACTTTATACACCTGCACCAATAACATATGCATATTACCTGTGCAATAACATACATATGCAGGTGGTAAGGCATTTTGAGTGACAAAAGTCATGACATCTCACCTTCCACAACCTTCTGTAGTTTATCCAGGTGAGCATGTTGTTTTCCATTGTACCTGACAGCATCTACGGAGAAGATCAACTTGGGCTGGATCTGTGTGAATCTGTCCAGCACTCCCTGTCAATGGCACATGAAAAAGGTACATTTTTAATGCACACAAAAAAGGGACAATTCAATGTAATTTAATGACGCAAGTTTTTGTGCTATGACAAAGATGATTATGTATCTTAAAAGATTTGTCAAGTACAAAACAATGTACACGCATTTTCAATTGTTCACTTAGTTATTCGGCAAAGTCTTTGAAGCTATAATGTAATCTGGAATGTATATGGATGGGCAAACAGAATGATGAGTTAGTATCTTACAGTCACTCCAAAGTCAGGAGAAGTGGAGCTCCAGACTGCACCTATGCTGGCTGCTCCCAACATGGCTTCAATAGTCACACAGCAGTTTGGGATATAACCTGGTAAAAAAAACAAGAAGACTTAGTATTGATGAAAACTGAATAAAGGCGCAAACAAACAAACAAAAACCATGAGATGTTGGGATACAATTACACTCTAACTGCCCACACTTAAAATTTGTAATAAATGGCTGCATGCCCCTGACATACAAAATTGTATATCATGATTCACTTCTTATACCATGCAAGAGTCTAATTCTATATATATGTTTTTGACTTTGATTTTGAGTACCGGTAGGTCCTTAGTTTCTAGATGAGGGAAACCATCACTCACTCACGTGGTGTAAAAATTACCTACCCACGACTCTGTCCCCCTTCTTCACTCCCATTTTCTTCATGGCGGCTGCGTACACGGCCACGTTATCAGCCAGCTCACGGAATGTTCTCTTCTCAACTTCCTCCCTGCCCTCCGCTAGCAAAATTATACAAAACACAAGCATGAAACATTAAGCATTGGGCAACATATATATGGTATTTTAGTCATTACAACCTACATTCTATTTTTCTATTGTAAGGTCTAGGTTATGCCAGCTAAAATTATGCACCATAATTTAGTATCTGCAATAACTATGCATGATGATGACAACATTTCATCATTAGCTTTGAATGTTACATGTATATTATATCTTATATCTTATATTAACAACATTCCTACCTGCAGCATATATAGCCACCCTATCATCCCTGTATCTCAGCATGTTCTCTGCATAGTTCATCCGGCAGCCCTGGAACCACTGCGGAATCTCTGCGATGTTCTTACTCACATCCACCACCTACAACAGTAAAACAACACAGAATACATGTACTTCCACAAATCTTCCTGAACGACTGGATGAAATGAAGACAAGAGTATTTGAAGACTAAGGAACATAAATTTTGCAGCAAAGTTAAAATCAAGGGTTTTCAGTCTCTTTGAATTCAAAATTGAAACAAAAACTAGTAGTAGCAGGGCAATGGAAATGCCAGTGTCTGTTCACCAGTGTGATGAGTATATGGTGGAAAGTGGCATAGATATTTCAAAATCTATAATACTTGTTACTGTATTGAATATGCCCAAAAGCAATTTGGGGTGTACTAGGAGGGGTGATGTAATCAGCATGTGAGTGACAGACTTTGAGCCAATCCAATCAGACCAAGACAGTTGAAGGGTAACTTTAAAAAAGATTTCTAACCTCCAGCACTGCATAAATTACAGTAGGATTAATTGATACTGTCCTAGTCTAATTTGATGTGTTACTCTAGACAAAATTGGGATCTAACTGTTTCAAAAGAAGAAATCATGTTTCGGCTTGTCAAAAGAAGAGTTATCATACAATCAATACTCCATCTGGAGTATGATAAAATGGTATTAAAACCGCACACCTGGTCGTATATCTTGGAGTGGAGGATGTCACAGAAGATCCAGACTTCCTCCCAGAACTCTGCATAGTTCTCAATAGACCACCTGAACAGATCGTTGTAGCACTCTGCAAAGCGAGACAAAGTCATAACAAATCTTATCAACTGACTTTTCAGCATGATCAGTAGTATTCAGTACACAACTTGGGACATCTGATTAAGTATATATTGGCAGGTAATTACTATGTATTGACAGGTAACAAGAGACTACTACTAGTCTAAGAGTTTTGTCCTTTGTCAACTAAAAGGTTAGGACACATTATTTGAAACATATTATACCAAATATATAAATTGCACAAAAATTCTACTAGTTGCAGGGTTAATAGCAAAGAAGCAATGAAACAACATTTTTTTTAACACTTTGTCAACACAACTGTCAGG